TAACCAATTACCAATAAAAAACAGAATAAATGAAAAAACATGTCTTTGTAACCACTGTAACCAATTAAAAACGGAATAAACGGAAATTATTATGTTACCTGTGTAACCGGTTACAAATGAACATAGGTGAAAGTCAGCACTTATTTCTTGCCATATGAAAAAAGTAGGGGGATGCCCCCTGCCCCACCCATCCCAGATGCTTCGTGCCTGCAGAATAGGCGTCTCCTTAGTAGAGTTGTTCCCCATTTCAAACTGTTCAAAGAGACTTAGAATATATGCCCTAAAATATCTCGAAAATTCGACCATACAATCCATCAGAAAATTTGCAGAAAGATATTTAAAGCCCCGGAAAACCACACGAGTTCGCAAGTTCCAGTACCTAATCACCGAAATTTTAATTTGATAAATCATAAAAAAAAGAATGCTTTACAAATTCTATAGTATAAAGTATTTTTCTATTCACTGTAAAATTGATCTATTATATGAAGTACTTGTTGAAGCTTAAAATTCTCCGGAACAATAATTTCTGCCTGGTGATTCTGTATTTACATTTCCTGAGTTATTTCCGATGTTTATCAGCTGAGAATATAAACAAAAACATTTCTTGATTTGATTTATTTTATAGCCATTTAGATTTAAGTTCTGATTTTCAATAACTTCTAACATTATAATTAGAAAAGTAGTTTATAGTTTGTTGTTATTTAGTTTGCTTTTTCTTGAAGGAACCTGAGTACCCATGCTAAGCGAGGTAAGCATTTCAACAAAACTGTCAAAAGTTTATCAGGTCCAGTCCAAAGACTATTTCTACCTACCGGTACGTAGGTATTTAAACCTACCCAAAGTAGCTATTTTTACCTACTTTCTGCTTTACTTGCATTTTGTGGCTAAACTCATGAACGGCGCATTATGGTGAGCTCCAAATTTCTTGATACAGTCACACTGATGATGGATATGACAAATATTTGGCCAAAAAATGATTACTTCGTATATTATCAATTTTGCATAGAAACTAATGTAAAATTGCCGATTCAGGAAGTAATCATTTTATCGTCAAAATTTTCTAGTATTCATATCAGTGTGGCTGTTTCAAAAAAATAGGGTATTTATCATGTTGCAAGTAAAGCAGAAAGTAGGTAAAAATAGCTACCTTGGGTAGGTTTAATACCTACGTAGCTATTTATAGCTACGTAGGTAGAAATAGTCTTTGGACTGGACCTGTTTATCACAGCTGTTTATTGTTTGTTTGTCAGTTGAAAATTATTGTCTTACTGGAATAACCCTTGCACGAATGGCATAATTGGATAAAACATGTATCATAATAGCACTTTTGTGTAGTAATATCTAAAATTGAAAATAATTTTTCTGTACAAGATATACCTTGCCTTTAATGTAAAGCCGAGTAACTACATGGACATTTCAAAAAAATATATATGGCAAATAAGTTCTCAGTATCCTTTATACACAATATTCAAAGCTAAACCTCACAAACTGTAAGGAGAGAAATCTGTATTGCATTCAGTTAATCTCGACAGGATTTGTTGAGACCAAATTATTACTTACTAGTATTACTGACAAAGAAATGTCTATACAAAATTTTATTGAGTCTCAATAATTGAATAAATTACACTGAGATAAGCATTCCATGCACTTTCATGTTATACAATATTTATAAACTGTTTTTTTTTCTTCTTTTAGAATCAAAGATCCATTAGATGGCAGTACTGTCTTACAATTTGATTCTCTTCCAGTGGCTGTTCAAATGTGACGAGAAGACACCTAAAACCAATTTAGCCTATAGAGAGAACACAAATTAAAAGTACTCCAGTTAGATCAATGAACATGAAATTAAATACCCAGTGCTTATGCATTTTAATTTTGATTTCACTGCATATAAGTCAGTGTTTGGACACTTTGATGATTGTTAAGAAGCTGTTTGAGAAAGTCAGGAGTTCACAGATTCAGAAAACAACCAAAAGCCTTCCTCCATTTTCATGGCACAAGGAGAAAGGACTGTTTGAAAGTCATGTCAAGCTGTATTTTCATGGATCATTTAGTGAGTTTATGCTCCGTGAAGGATTTGAAATATTTGACAATAACAATTTTGCCACAGCTTGGATTACAACAGCTCTTCTTGAGGTTCACCAGTTGGAAAACAATGGAACTTACATTGATGAGGAGTTGATTTTAAATGCAGTGAAAGCCATGGGGAACTTTGTTGATAAAAATAATAAATTCAACACATCTGTTCAAACATTTTGGCCCCAAACATTTAATGAAACTGTGGCCACATGGCAAAGCACACCACAGAATTTGTTGCAACTCTTTGCTCTATTTGATGATATTCCATGGTCTGTGATTTTAAACTTTATTCAAAAACTGCATTTAGCTGATGCTGAAATGATAAAGAATATCAAACAACTGCTGCAGGAGAAGTAAGATTCCTTATTTCTTTTTCTTTTTTTTTTAAATCAGCTGTTTACCAATAAAACTCTCTACATGCAGTCTATACTGTGTATACTCATTAATTTGGGAATCAAATTCTTTTATTTTTAATAAGCTTCAATTTTATAGTACCTTCCCACAGGCACCTGACTGACGTTACTTATTTTTCTTTTAATAAAAAAAATACCCCTACCTAATAATAAATGTTTTATTATTAGGTAGGGATGTGTTTTTTATATTAAAAGAAAAATAAGTAACGTCATGTGACTGTGTACCTTCCGTAGTTTTTTTCATCAAAATTCATTGTAAACTAATTAATGTTTATGTGTCGATGAAATGAAAACATTTTATCATGATAATTTAAAAAATGTTATCAACAAATGAACTTTCCACCTAAACAGATTTGAACTAAAATACCCTCCATTTGATACTGTGTCACTTCTTTAAAATCAAAATCACATTAAATAACTGGAAATACATGTCTTATTTGATTTACATGACTGATGCACGTCATTAATTTGCATGTATTTTTTTTTAAATCAGATTTGAATTTGTTAATATTCTTATATTTTTATACATGTATTACATCGATATCAACATGACTTCATGATTACTTATACATATACATGTACATATAGTAGCATATGATACTTTGTATATCTTCATCAGATTCTGTACAAAATAAATCATGAGCTGCAGTATGCTCGTAAAGATTTGGAGGAGGCTCTTAAACATGCTGGGGGTGACATACTGGCGGCCAGAAAGAGGGTCATGTGGCTGGAGGATCGTATGGGAACATTGTGCGGAAAAGTTCGTCTCAGGGTAAGGCCTGTGACTTGTTCATACATATGTTTAGATACCACATGCCATCATTTTTAAGAAAGTTTTCATCCATTATTGAGATGCAATTAAAAAGAATGAAAGTGTCAGTTTTGATTTGAGAATAATAATGATTGTTACGTAAAAAAAGATGTGAACTGCAGTAAATATATCACACATCTTTACTGCACTGCCACACTGTCATATTTTGATCCTCATCTACTATAATATACAGAGTTATTCTTACCCAGTGTTCACACTTACACACTAATTTGCCCCATTTTAAATTTGTTCATGCACACACAGTTTTGCTAAAGAGATAACTTTGTCTTCTCTAAATATTGGCACAGTTTAAGGGTAAAAAATTCAAACCCCTGAACATTTCTGTGCATGTAGTACCTTACTTTAAGTTGAAGTTTTTTTTTAATACAGTAAGTCCATATATAGTATAACTTGTAGATCAGATAGTGAATGTAACATGACATAGAGAGCATAATATGTCTGAATTTTTGTTAGGGCCAGCCTGTTTCTCAGAGGGTGTCACATCGGACCAGAGGCTCTACTGATCGTGGTCAGCTGACCCTGACCTTTAGATCAGACAGTGATGTCAGCGATGAAGAAGACAGATTCCCAAGACAGAAGTCCCTACCTCCGATTCGCCAGACACAGGATGTTGACTCTGATGAGGAGGACAACAGGGGGAGGGGCATGGCAGGTGGGAGGGGCCGGATGGTGGAAACACCCTCCATCAGTGGATCCGAGGATTTCCAGGATATGCAAATTAGGCGACCCGGAATGATGTACACTCCTTCCTCAGAGGCAAGTTCCTCCATCTCCCCTGTTAAAATGGGAATGATGCAGCACCGTGGGCCACGGTATGACTCTGATGATTCTGATGATGAGGATTCCAGCCCTCAGCCCAGTCCGATCCCCAAGAAAGGACCGGTGACAGCAGAGGAGAAGAGGGAATCCAGCGAAGGAGGGTCGGAGGCAGAGGACCACATTGGGGAACTGCCCACCATGTTTAGCAGGGGCAACCGGGAGATTAGTGCCCCCCTAAGGCATTCTTCACCAGAGATGGTCTCCCTGCCCAAACCGGTTGTGGAGGAACAGCCAATGGTTAAGGAGGATCAGCAGCCTCAAGAAGAATCTGAAGAAAAGGTTGAGGTAAGGATTTATAGCTTTTAAAACAGAAAAGTTGGGTTTAATGTGCAGATTACAGGCTACATATAAAGATTTTTAATCGATGGTAAGATTCAAGTAAAATTTGATATTATAGCTATATATGGCGTATCTGACGTAAAAAATAAAAATATGAGATTAAGCGGAGATTTACACGGTATTTGTTATTTACATTCAAATTAAAATTTTCATCTGTCATGAATTTAAATATCCCCTCGTTTCTATTACTTCAATTGACTTTAAACTATGTCTGAATATTTATTTCCGAGTCGGAAATAATTCGGTTATTGTTTTAAATTCTGCGATAACTTTAAAACGCAACTGATTTAAATTGTGTAATTTACAGGAAAGTCTTCTTTTTATATAAAAGTAACAAAACAAATAGAAAGATCTTTTTAATTTTCGATAGTCAGAACTTATCAAAAATATGCCATATATCACTTTAAAGAGACAGCCATATGATTTTGCATCTTTTCATTTAAAGGTATATTTATGATGAAAACGTGAATAAATTTGATACACTAAGAATATATCTTGTAAAAGAAAGAGTTATAGCTGAGGAAACAATCATAAAGAATGGCTTGTTGTGTTCCTGCTTTCTATGCAACTCACTTTGTACATATAGGAAAAAGAGGAGGCAGAGGTGAAGGAATGGAGGAAAAGGCAGGGGAGGAGGCTCCAAAGGAGGAAACCTCGGAGGAAACTGTGCCAGGGGAAGGAACTGAGAATGCCCCACAGGAAAAGACTTTTATAACTGAGGTGTCTGTGGCCACCAATAAAAGTCGGGTCACCATTGTGTCTCCCAAGAGAGAGGACACTCGACAAGGTAAGGCAGATGTGATAGAGTTAATTTTTTTTTCATTAAATTTGGAAAATCCTTTCTTTAAAAAAATTGAAATTATTTTTAATATTTTTTTCTGTAATTATTTATGACAGTACATACTGTAAATGAACTATATTTGGCATGTACAATATTACACAGAAATTGATTTTTCACAAAGTTAGCGCAGATTTGATTTAGCGCATATCTGAACGTTCCTATGCATGAGTATATGTGCAAGACATTAAGCGTTGTGTTCGAATTGGTGGACGTTTATTTCCACCAAAGGTGCTAAACAAGAATACACAGCCAAATGTATTACATTTACAGTATTATGTATCAAAAATTTAATTTTAGTAGCTAAAGTTTGAATTGCATATATGAAATTTTTCTAGCAAGGCGGAGTTTTATTTACAATTACAGTTAAAAAATACATATATATATGAAGTTCATATAATTTCTTCTGTAAATAAATATATGATTTTAGCTTTTTTCTCATGCATGCATGGAGAATGTTAATTAATTGTGCTAGTTTAATTTCTGCCAGTTCTGCAACTAAAAAATGAATTGTATTTTATTTCAATGACCCTTCTCTGCATCTTCAAATTTCTTTTTATTAATCAATGTTTTGTCAATTGTTCACAGTTAGTCAGATTGCCATAAGTTGTAAGGAATTTTATGGTTCTCCTAAAAGACACACTGTATTTTATTTTCAAAAACTACTTTAAATCCTTTGGCATCTGCATGCTTACATGCACTTTTCACTGCTCATGATCAGTATAGATAAGAGTATAAACAGAAATCCTTGAATATAGCTTTGTCCTCCTCTGAATTCTACAGACGTCTTATAAATGTTATGACTCATAAAAACTTTCTAAGTTTAACTTATTCAGGAATTAATTATTTCTAGAAAAGAATTTAGGATGAATTGCACAAGTACATATTTCTTGTTAAGAAAAAGTCAGACTTTTAAACTGTAATATTTTCCTGCACATTGATACATTTTATGTGCCAATGAATGCTGTTATTATGGCATCAACTGAAATGTCTACAATGGTGGTTAAAAATACACCTGTTTTAGATTTTTTTTTTTTTTTAAATGTTGTTCTGCTCATGTGGACAAGTATCGATTTCAAATTATTTTCACATTTGGTATGATTGACCCATTGTCTTTACTTCTATTCTACAAACCTTACTACTTGATACATACTCTGAAATATTATCAATATAAATAATCAAATTATGGAAATCTGTGTGTTGTGTGAATTCTTGGGTATATGGTAAAAAATTAATAGTTAAAATACTAAATACGCTACAATTATGTAATGACTACAAAGATTTTATGATTGTTATAGAATCTATTATTATATCAGCAAGCTCTATCAAGTTACGAATGAATTTTTATTAAGAATAAAAATATTAAGATTTTTGATTCTTTTTTGTACTTTTCACATATTTTGAAATACAAAACACTCATGAATTTTTTATGTGGATCACAGATGCTAAGTGACATAAGCAAGCTTTTGTGTTTGCAGTTGTGTTTCACAAATGACACATTGTCTCGTTAAATAGAATGGGAGCTACCCGTACGAAAGTTGGAGGCGGAATGGGCACAGCTAAGACACGGAATCCGCACGGGTTTTTAAAAAGCCGCACGGGTTCTGCATGTCCAAGACACGGACACGGCTTCCGTGTCTGAAAGTTAGGAATCATCACTCACAGAAACCCGTGTGGAGGCACGGAATCCGTGTCCCAGGGAGACGGTTTTTAACTCAGGCGGGTTTTGCTTCAAACTATTTATTTATATCTCACGGCTTTTTACTGAGCATGCTCAATCATAACTTCCTTTATTTGAATATTAAATTGGAGGGATTCATGGTCATGAGCTAAGTCAATGTGTCTTTTTGCTCTATTTAAAGGATATTTAACTAATAGATGTCAGTTGGAATTGTATTTATGTCAGTCTGGGATAATTTCTTCACTTTTGAACTAAATGCAGTAAGTGTAATCTAGAATAAATAAGTCAATTTTTCAATTTTCATGATCTTCCTGTATTGCGATGTTGACAATGAAATAGTTTAAGTTTATTTGAATGACTTTATGGGCTTTCACTAATCCTTTATAGTGTATATTTTATGTGACATCACTGTGCTAGTGAAAGTTTTATTTAAACTAAATTCTTTCTCAGATTGTGAAAACTTATAGCTACTAGATTAAATTACAATTGAATATTGTACATTATCATTAAAATCTTAATTAAAAACTAGCATGGATTGTAACTGATAAAGTTAATCTTTAACAGAAAGTAAATGGACACATTCATCTAAGAGTTTTAACTTTTGAAATTCTAAAACTATAAGCATTAATGTAAAGCAATGTGAAGTTAGTTTGGTTTCAGTAACCATTTTGGCATCCACAGTTACATCAAGAGATTCTCTAAAGGCCATGACCTAGATCTAGACAAATGCACAGATCCCGTGACTCCTTATATGGTATAAGGCACGGCTTTTTTGACACGGGTTTCCAAAAAACCGTGTCTCCATATATGGAAAAGGACACGGGTTTCAGACACAGGTTTACAGAATCCGTGAGTCCATATATGGAAACTAGCACAGCTTTCTGACACGGGTTTTGTAAAACCGTGTGATCTCATTTAAATATTTCGGCCAATATCCCGTGCCGTGTCCGTGCCTCGACCACTTTTAGGCACGGCTTTCCATACATACTTTACATAGGAGCACGGAATGCTAAAGCACGGGTTTCTGGAGACGGAATCCGTGCCTGAGCCGTGTCTAAGCCGCCCGGACTGTTTCGTACGGGTTATTGAAACTTCAAATTTTTCGATGGGTTTGATTGACACATCCTTGCACTCTCACAAATTTCACGGAAAATATTCAAACTATAATCCAGAACAATAATTATATTCTGAGTAGGAATGTTAGAAAGCAAAACCCCTTCACAAGTATCGTCATTCCGCGCTAAGTGTTGTGTACAGAGTTAAGTAACTTGATCACACCCGTGAAACGTACACAGTTTCTGTAAACAGAACAAAAGCTCTGTTATTGTTGATGTTTTTAATTCACCGGGTGCGTTCAATTGTTAAAATCTGCTCACCACAACTGCACGGACTGACGATATACTGTTCGTAACTTTCGAACATTTCTACTCTGAGTTTTCTGGATTACAGTTTTAATATGTTTCATTTATCACAACAATATTGCCACTTTTCCTAAGTATAAAGAATAAAATCAAACCCGTCTTTAAAAAAATTAAATTTTTAATACATTGTAACTTTTAGGATGAAATAAAATTTTTAATACATTTTTGTGTGAAATGCTATTAAAATATATAAGTGGTAATATTACACATAAAATATTAACTTCAAATCTGTGTCCATGCACCTTTAAAAGATACCAATCTTTCCAATTTTTGTTTCAATTAATTTTCAAAAGAATAAAAGGAATCCCTTGATACAGCACTTCATGTAATTATAATACATGTAGTCATGTACCATGTTTACTATCTGTTGTAAGTTTAAAGTTTTGTGTCATAAGTAATATTATTAAATCTCGAAAATGGAAATGTATTGAACTTATCCACACAGCATTATATTTTGTAGAATATGCACGAGTGTTTTAGTACAACTATTTATGCTTGAATTTCTTAATTTTAAAGTTTAATGGATTTGGGTAGATACATTTTAGACTTTGGTTTTTTTTTCACGAAAATATGATAAAATGTAAATAACTTTCCTATGTTAATTCAGCAAAGACCATTCAAGCTTAAACTCCATTGAAACAATTCAAAGGGGGGTGGGGTAGAGCAAACATGTATGCCCCTCTAAAAGCATCTAAGGTGGGATTAGGTGCCCTGGGGTAGTAAGCATCCACTGATGATCGCTTACATGAGTCATGTGCTCTTTGTGATGATTCGACAATGGGAAAAGTTCACAGACAACTCAGCGTGTAAACAATTTTATAGATCTTCTCGATCTTCTTGCAGATCATGAAGCGAGTTCAGGAGATACTGAGAGAAGCCCTGTGTGGTAAAATGACCACCTCTATTTTGATGTCCTACAAAACTGACAGTGATGGGTCAGTGTTTTATGACGACTTTCTCGGCGATGGGGATAGATCACTTTTCATCAATAAAACAATTGTAAGTAAAAGTAAAATGTTATTTGCAGATTGTTTTGACATAATGTATCTTACTGAAGAATCATTGTGCAAATGTCATTATATTTTATTGTACAGAAAAGAGGTGAGGATCGAATATTTACAACATCTATGGCAATCAACGCATTATTAACAACATGGACTTCCTACGATATTGCAAGAAAGAGGCTGACATGGGTAAAAGGTACTATGATTTCTTCTTTAGTCTGTCATTAGTTAGGTTTTCAAGTCTCTAAAAAAGACAAAAAAGTTTACTTACCTCTCGATTTTTAGGCAGAAGAAAAGTATGGACATTTTTGTACAAATCAAAGTATTTCTGATTCATTTCAATATAAAAAGAAACAACAAAGATGCACAGTTTAACATAGTTTAATTAATATTTAAATTTTCAGGTGTGCCAACCAAAGTAGTTGATGTGGTAAAGAGAGCTGTACAATGGATGTGTAGAAATGTCCTGTCCAGAAAGTATCGGCCTTGGAATGCGTTCTTCTCGGGTTCAGTGAAAAGTTTTGTAAGTGTTATTATTTTTTTTCCCCAATTCATTTTATTTTTTTTGAAAATATTTTTTTTAATTTTAGCAGTGGAGTTGTCAATTTTTACAAAAAAGGAAACAACAAAAACAAAAGAAAGGAAATGCAAAACAAAACAAAATCATACGAAAACAAAACAAAAAAATTCTAAAGCTAAATGTAACTAGTGCTAATTGTAACGGGGACCATTACAGATGTTCCCCAAACGCTCCCCAAATCCCTTTTTGTGCCTTATTCCTGTAAAACATTTTTTAAAATATGACCAGTATCGATTTAATCAAAGATTATAAAAGGTACAATGATATCAACTATATGTCATTTAACGCATTGTACGCGCACGCACGTGCATGAACATGCAAGCTGATCATAGCATGTTGTCTAAACAATTAACATATCTATATATCGTGAGAATAAATAAAAAAATTCCTTACAATATATTCTAATGTTTTTTTTTTAAATAATGGGCATTTTGCGTATTTCGTGCACGCGTCTGCATGAATGAATGCTCGTGCATTCAATTTTGATAGTACCATTATGTAGGAATCCATTATACCTATTCATATTCTAAATCTTATCCCGTTTGGTTGAAAACTAAGAAAGGTATAGATATTTAAATTTTCAGCCAATCAGATTGCAGCACACATGCATGCGCATGCTTTTCATGATAATTCTTATATACCATGTTGTAGATCTTTATAATGTATAATCATGTTCAAAATTTCAAAGAATTTTGTCGAAAAACAAGAAAGATATTGAGACTTTAGTTTCAGCCAATCAGAGCGAAGCGCACGTGCATGCATGTGAGATCTTGCTATTTTGACCATGTCATCTAGTCTATGCTTCTAATATATCCTTATATTATAAGTTTCAAAACATTTCATAAAAAATTTAAATAGTTATATCTATATCGATTTTATTGGACATTTCTGATGTTGCACGTGCACGCTCTTGCAAGCACATGTGCATGCACATTCTTTTATGATAATTCTTCTATATCAGGCTGTAGATCTCCCTAATGTATGACTATATTCAAAATGTCAAAAGATTTTATCAAAAAACAAGAAAGATATTGATATTTTAGTTTCAGCCAATCAGAGCGAAGCCTACGTGCATGCGCATGCGATCTTGCTATTTTGACCACATCATCTTGTCTATGCTACTAATATATCCTTATATTATGAGTTTCAAAACATTTCATCTAAAATTAAAAAAGTTACGGCAATATTCATTATATTGGTCATTTCCCGTGTTGCACGTGCACGCTCTTGCAAGCACGTGCGCGCAAAATGACCTTTGTTCCGCAAATCTACATAACATGCCTACTGACCCTAAAAAAGGTTTCACCTTAGTCGGATGTGTAGTTTAGAAGATCATTCGCGGAAAAGATTTTCCCAGGAAGAAGAAAAATAATAATAACTAGAGCCGAGCTCGTTGCAAAGCAACGAGTAGGTCTTCCGTCGGAGCTGCGGACAGGGAGAAATGACCTTGGGTCAAGGTCATGCCACGTTCTAATGTTAAAGCAATCTTTTAAGGGTAGATCTCATTTTATTTATGTTTTACTATTAAAAAAGATAGTAAAGGAATGTTTGCAACCTTGACCTTGTTAAAATGACCTTACGTCACACCATGACACACGCTGGTGAAAAGCAAAGCCAATTTGTGTGCTACCGTATTGACGAATTCTTAAGCTATACTTTTTTCGATAGGCCTTGTCAAAGCTAATACGTATATACATGTGTGAATCTAGGTATGAAAGCGTTATCCTTTCTTTATCAAAAGTCATGGTCAATTTTAGGCAATGTTTAAATTTTGGAAAAGCCTGTTAAACTTCAAGGTCAAAGGGTCAAAAATCATAATGAATTTTCAAAGGCGTTGACACGGGTAATACATTACATGTTTATAAAATGAAAGCTTTCAATAGTTATGGTCATTTTAAAGTAATGTTATTTTTTAAGTAGGTCAAGCTCCAAGATCAAGGTCACGGGACTAAAAATCACAATATATTTGAAAATCACATGTCACAAGTAATGCACATGTGAAATATGAAAGTCCTAATTCAACTCATTCAATAGTTATTATCAAGTTTAAAGTTCTCGTGACAGATGGACACTGTCAGACTGGTTGACAAATAAGGTTTAATGTGCCCTAATAAAAAAAAATACACGTTATTTGAACATGATAAATTGAGAAATACGAATAATAAAAAAATAGAAAATATTAGAAAAAATTGCGCTGAAGCTATATTCAATATCCGTGTTTTTCAACTGCTTGAATCTAAAAATATTATTTACCGTGTGTCTCTAGCACATTCCTTAAATTTTTCTACAGTTAAACATTCCTTACAATCGTTTTTAATAGTACTAGTCCTTCTGAGCCTGAATTTGAGATAATGCTGTATGTGTAGCACTGTAGCTCTCTGGTGATCCATCTCAAATTTTTAAGAACAGCTAGCGAGCTACAGATCTGCAGCTAGACAATTGTCATAAAGTTAATTTTACAAATTCATTTGAAATGTAACAGAATTGAATTTTATGAAAAGAATTATTTCTAATGCTTATTTTTAACATATGCTAAAATTATTTACCTATCAAGTTAAGTTAAGACAGTAAAAAGGAATTTGTCACTCAGTATTTATCTAAGGAATAAGTGTCAATCCTCAACCTCAAAGAGCGTTCTACTTGTATGATAATTGCGTATGTGTAATAAAACTGCCGTGGACTATCCCGGACGTGAACATTAGATGTATTGGACATTCCGTATCAAGAAAATATAGCTTTACTCTGGACTATTCCGAGTTACCAAAACATTTGTGTGTATGTCCATGTGTGAGCGTTTCAACCTGTCTTTGTTTTATGTGACTTGACTTGATTTATTTTTCAAAATACAAACTTTAACTTTTTATTGCTTGACTTTCGTTTTATAAATCATTTGTGTTACTTTCACCAATTATATTCTATTAACTTTGTTAACGTTGAATTGCTAAAAACAATAGTGTAAAAATCTAGAATGAAAATAATGAATGTAACAAATAAAATTATTAATTGTCGGAAATGCAATGCAAAATTCGGGAAATCAAATCCCCCGAAAACTGGTAACCCCTCCCCCCCCCCCCCCCCAAAAAAAAAAAAAATACACTGTAGTACATGTAGTACATGTACACACTTCGATGCTCGATTGTATACTCTAATCGGCACAAGTTTTAGAAATTAAAAAGTTTATGAATAAGAAAGTTTAGTAACGCGTACTTATCTTTGCCGACTTTTTAAAAAAATTTATTTGACAACCTGCGAATTAAAAAAAAAAGATCGCGTATGATTATTGGTTAATATTATAATAGGTTATGGATTAATCATGGATTTCAACACCAGCCCTGGCCTGCCATTCTCGAGTCTGAAGGAAAGCATTGTATCATTTCAGGGGGGTTACGTATCGCAATGAGTGGAAATTTAATAATTTAATCTCTTTTAGTCTAATAAACACGAAAGAATTTAAAGGCTTGGAATATTTGTTTGAAATTACAGGAAGCAATTTTGAATTTGTAAGAAAAATTTCTAATTCTTCATTTTTTTTCTCGTATTCTTAAAGCTCATATATGTTGGGTGCTCTTCTGTGTAAAACAGCATGTACTTAGTTAATATCAAGTACATGCACATAAAATCGTGTCATTGTGATATTCTAGCTTTTTATTCGATGAAATAAAAGAAATTTATAATTTAATTTTCGATTTTCATGAGAATTGAAAACGTCACTTCCACTTACAATTTACTGTGTGCATTTCTCATGTTTGTTTGTAATTGCTATTATAAACAACATCGCAATTTTTTCTGAAATGATTTAAGCAACTAGAATAACTTGATATAGGCCCGTATACATGTAACGATTGCAATTACTTCAAAGTCGAGAGGGAGACGATGGCGCCTAAATATGTGTACCTTTCCAATAATAGAATCATCCGTTCAAATTAAAAACAATTAAGTTGCAGTTGTGATATCCCGATTCTTTAAATAACGAAACTATAATGTACTTCACAAGTGTAGAATTCAACATTAATTCATGTACATGTGCAATTACAATCAAAATTGGCAGAGTTATCGATAGGTCATCCTGCGTCACCTATCAATGTAACCGATGGACTCGTCCAGAGAAATCATCTACAGGTACCTGAGTAAAATCGCAACGCCTTTTATTCATTCGTCAAAGAATAGAATCAGACATTTTATCTTTTAATACTCATACATGTTCAAGAAAACCTTTATATTTGTGTCTAGAAATATTCTTACGATTTACGCAAATATTATGTCAAATTCTTGATTTTAAACTGAGTAAATCGATGACTAGCATCGTTTTAGATAACTCTGGGACTCGCGTAAAAATCAAAGAGCGGTAATGTTGACCTCCGGAATGTATATAGGTCAATGCGCGATCGATAAACGGGTTGCACAATTGTAAACAAAAACAGTCAAAGTCCGAGGAAAATTCACGATGCATGAATTAAATGACAGTGAATTATTTTAAGCTTGATTTTTTTTTTTTATAAATAATGCTACATTGAGTATCAATCGGATGAAAGATGATAAGTATTTTTCCTATCTCCCGTCTTGTAATTTAAACTAAATACAAGGAGAAAGTTGTCTCTGAATAATCTGTATGACATCCAGCTAGAGAATACGTTAAAAACTTTATTTCAACAAAATTTAACATTCAATTTAGTTAAGTATATTATTCTTATCCAGTTTATTTCAGTTATAGTACGTGTTATTCGCGTACGCATAAAGAATTCTTCACTTGCTGTATAAAATTAATCAGTTACCTGTACATGGATTATAAAGTTTGCTGCTCATTTAATAACACAAGATTCGAACAAATAACGTTTTCATGAGATCAATAAGATGTTAAAGACCCATTTCAAATCGATAACCATATCGAAATATTTACCGTTTTTGAGTTATAATGCAAAAACTTTCAAGCTCCCTTGACCCCTAATTTGAGGGGCCAGCCCCTTTTTAATGATGTCAAATGATAGATCTTAAAATTATGCACAATATTTGTGAAACATGTCTTAACAAATTATTTTTAATTTAAAAGATACACAAGGAAATATATGTAAAATTTGGCGCTTTTAGGCATTCTCATTTTTGACCCCTATCTAACACCGTTTTGAGCGCAGAAATCGAAAAAGAAAAACCGATGTGCACAACTTCAATTCTTTTAGTATTTAAATGCAGTAGACATTCTGCTCCAGCTTTTGTCGTTTCTGAGCCTTTGTCTGGAAACGAACAGTACCAAATTTTCATTTAAAGGGAAATAACTCGAAAGCGGAAGGGAATTTTTGAAATGTATGAAAACATTTTAATTGAGTTTTGTAACGTCCAAAAACCCTGAAAATATGAGCGAAATCCGTTAAGAAATGAGCGAGTTACGAGGTCTCAAAGTTGGCGTCTAGGAAAAAAAAAAGAATAATAGGAATAATCTTAACCATCAGAATCAGTAGAAGGTCTTCCGCCTGAGCGGAAGACCTTAATAATAATAATAAGAAACAGAGTAAAAACAATATGTTCCCCAACTTCGTTTGGGGAACATAAATATGTTCCCCAACTTCGTTTGGGGAACATAAATATGAGGTATCTTGTTTTATGACATTCGATTTGCTTAGAAGTTATGTTATGACCCTACCTAATTTTGCAGAATTCCATGCCATGGTGGTATCCTTCTAACCGTAAGGAGTACCTGAATGGAACCTCTATAGCAGACGACACCCACATTCCAAGTGATGCCACAATTATAGCTATGCAGGGAGTGAAGTCCCCAGAATGGTACAATACTCAGCTCAACAGAAAACATTTTGGATTCAATGTTCCCATGGTATTTCATGGATATAATGCAGAGAAAGGGCCTTTTCCCTTTTGGAGTTCAGAACCTTACACATATGTTTCAGCCATGTTATCATTGGTTAAATACAAAAATGTGATGACCGAGCCATAATACTGTTGGTTCTTTTATACGTTTTTGTGCCATAAAATCTTTTTTTAATGATAAATGCCATGATTTATCCGGATGAGTGTACTGTATTTGCCCCAGCATTACATTCCATTGTTGCTCAAAGAAGATTAAGCAGATCTGTCTTTGTTTTACTTTCTTGTACATTTACATTCTTATACCATTAGTAATTGTGAAACATTATGTTGTGTTTTTGCAAGATATACCGCTGATCATTTTTTGAATATCCTACAGAATGACTGAATCTTTTAAACTTGCAAGCACTAATAGTTTTGTCTATGCAATTTTATACCTCAGGTTTTTGTGACTTGAAAAATGTTGTTATATGATAAGCAAACATAGATTTTCATTTATAGGGGAAAAATCATTTTTGATCTGGACAAATGCTTCATACAGTATTAAAATTTTAATGTCGTAATATTGGAGGACACTTTTCTGATTTCATTGTAGTTGAAAACATTATTACTAGAAGGTAAGTACAGTGTATATACATTACATGACTGTCTATGTGCTTTTACTATCAAACTATACATCTTTATGTAACTTAAATGTTTTATTTTACTAGCAGTGTATGTTTAAAATATGTTCTTATTGTATATGAAAGTCATTGTATTTTGTCTCATTTAAAAGGAGTAAAATAACAGTATAATGTTTTGTCATTCAACCCTTTTACACACAATTTATTTACCTGTCAATAATTTAAATAAGCTGTAGATCTAAATCTCTATTCTACTGTTTCTCTACATTTAATATTCTGAAATCATACTTGCTATTTCTACCTTTTGGTTTCCTTTAAACAAGAGAACCATTTTAAAGTTTTATTCATATAAAGCAGTATTGTATTGTTGTAATTATAATATATGTACCTACATATATTGTAATTTCATGTAAACTTTAAGCTGCTGAACAAAAAAAACATATTATATTGTTGTTTAACATGCATTCTCTGTAAGCACCAAAAAATTTACTATAGGGCTTGGAAACGACATATCTCCGATTTTGATGAAATTTGCACCACAGGTGCACCTTGGTACAAAACCAGCAAATATGGTGTTAGAAGTTTCCCACGTGCACCCGGTTGCCATGGAGACGGATCCATTGAATTTGGCCATTTTCGGCCATTTTTGACCAAACAAAAACATGAAAATTGAGGAAATATGAATGCATTTTTGTCTTTATGTAGTGAACTCAAATATAAATCTTTGTATCATAAGAAAACATCAACTGTTAAAGAATACAGGGCATATAACCAGTTATTCCAGAATTGACCCCACTCTTAGAAAACAGTTCTGCAAAATAGCATCGTTTCTCAAAATGTGAAAAATGGAAAATTTGGCATTTTTTGAGAAATTTAAGGTTAAATAAAAAAAATTGTCTACGGAAATTTTTCAAATCATATGCGTGTCGTCAAACGTCGGTATTAGTAGTGTCCCCTCATGAAAAAATTGGAGTGGGATCTCAATGCTATTTTTAGTAACATGTATCTAAAAATAGACATATTTCAGAAAAATCCAAAAAATGAAATTTGGACAGAGTTTAAGATGCCATTGCTAGGTAATTATGAAATATACTGTAAAAGTCAATATGCTAATGTCCGAGACTGGACACCAATAACTGCCATGCATATTATTTTCAGGGATTTCCGTTTTCTATTTATAGCTTTCAAATGCCTAAATATAGACATGTCTCATAAAATGATGAAAAATGTCAATTTACCATCATTTTGAAGCTCCACTGAATCATAAATAATAAAAATATGGATCTCTCCAATATTTCATCAATAAGAACAAGGAATAGTATAATATCTCACAAATTATTGAGGACAGGCTCTCATCTCTATAGATAGTACAAATATCTAAAAATAGACACATATGAAATTAACTGTTTAATGTTGATTTTCCACCAATTCTCAAATTAGAGATGGAAAATTTACCGACTTACTGTCAATAAATGTAACTGATATTATGTGACTGACAAGAACAAAAGAACATTCAATGGAATGCAGCATGATAAGCAGAGGTTTCCATTTCTATTTATAGTAACACATGTTTAAAAATAGACGTAATGCAAAATATCGGGAAAATGTCGTTTTTTGTACTTTTTTCTAAAATTTTGGATGAATAATTGCTGACTATCTATTTTCAAACGCTATTGGCATATGGTGACCAAAAAAAAAAAGAAAGCCTTAAATCAAATACAAAATGAGAAGCAGTGGTTTCCATTTCTATTTATAGTAACACATGTTTGAAAATAGATGCATAATGCGAAATTATCGGGAAAATGTCGTTTTTTGTAATTTTTTTCTAAAATTTTGGATAAACAATTGCTGACTATCTGTTTTTAACTGCTATTGGAATATGGTGATCAACAAGTAAAAGAAAGCTTATACGAAATACAGAATGAGAAGCAGAGGTTTCCATTTCTATTTATAATAACACATGTTTGAAAATAGACGTGATGCAAAATATCGGGAAAATGTCATTTTTTGTACTCTTTTCTTACATTTTGGATGAATAATTGCTGACTATCTGTTTTTAACTGCTATTGGCATATAGTGACCAACAAGTAAAAGAAAGCCTTATATCAAAAACAGAATGAGAAGCAGAGGTTTCCATTTCTATTTATAGTAACATGTGTTTAAGAATAGACGTACTGTAAACTATCGGAAAAATGTCATTTTTTGTACTTTTTTCTTACATTTTGGATGAATAATTGCTGACTATCTGTTTTAACTGCTATTGGCATATGGTGACCAACAAGTAAAAGAAAGCCTTACATCAAATACAGAATGAGAAGCAGAGGTTTCCATTTCTATTTATAGTAACATGAGTTTAAAAATAGACATACTGTAAACTATAGGAAAAATGTAGTTTTTTCTACTTTTTTCTCACATTTTGGATGAATAATTGCTGACTATCTGTTTTAACTGCTATTGGCATATGGTGACCAACAAGTAAAAGAAAGCCTTATATCAAATACAAAATGAGGAGCATAAGTTTCCATTTCCATTTCTATTTATAGTAACACGTTTGAAAATAGACATACTGCAAATTCTTGAGAAAATATAGACTTTTGCATTTTTCTTAACATCGGGAATGGATAATGTGCAGACAAATGGCTGATATTTGTTATTGACGGAAGGTGACTAACGAGCATGAAAAAGCTTTAGCAAAAATGTATAAGAATAATGTGTAAAGGTATTTTTTCCATTTCTATCTATACTAACGTATAGTTATAAATAGACATTCAGCAATTTATCCAGAAAATATAGAATCATTCTATTTTCTGAAATTAGGGATAGGAAATTGCAGCCAAACTTTCATAAGCTGTAGCTGACATAATGTAGCCGACACGTACAAGAGAGCAGTAACCGAAATGCATACTAAGGTGGGTTTCCATTTCTTTTTATAGTAACACATGTTTTAAAATAAAGGCTCTTTTATGATCATTACGATCATTTGTGCCTTGTCAGTCGTTGTCGTTCTCCTTGTAAACTTTTTATATTTTCATCTTCTAATCAAGAATCACTGGGTTAATTTCAATTTAACTTGCCACAAAGTATCCTTGAATGAAGGAATAATACCTTCTCACTGTTCGATTTTTCACTAAGCTATTAATTTATATTTCTGACCAATATTAGTTTGTTTAAACGCCTATTAATAGCAAAGCCATTTCTGTAACTAAAGTTACTTCCCATCCTCTCATAAAGACAAGTTAATTTTTAGTAGTAGTAGTATTTTAAAACGTAACAAGGAATCTTTTTCAAACACTGATACCAATGTATGACAGCTTATTGCCATGGAAATCAAGTCTTTAAAAAGGAGATAAAACTCTATGGTCATAACAAAATTCGTGTTGGAAGCAAATTATAAGTGAATAGGGGGGTCCAAACATGAAATCCTATTCCATGGGAGGGGGATCAAACTTCTTTCAGTTCTTTCAGTACCATTTTTTTTCTTTCAAACACTACCACTTGGTCATTTGGGGAAGTTCAAGGTCACTGAAAAAAAAAATTTAATTCGTGTCCGGTCCACATCTTTCTTATGGATAAACTTGGCATGTTCTTATTTCACACAAAGATTTCTCATGACCTAAGACTGTGTCATAACCTTGACCCAAGGTCATTTAGGGAAGTTCAAGGTCACTGAAAAAAAAGTTTCATAATTCGTGTCCAGTCCATATCTTCCTTATGGATAAACTTGGTAGGTTCTCATTTCACACAAAGACTGCCCATGCAATAAGAGTGTGTCATGACCTTGGGCCAAGGACATTTGGGGAAGTTCAAGGTTACTGGAAGAAATATTTCATAATTCGTGTCCGGTCCATATCTTTTTTATGGATAAACCTGGTATGTTCTTATTTCACACAAATATTGCCCATGACCTAAGATTGTGTCATGACCTTGACCCCAGGTCCTTTAGGGAAGTTCAAGGTCACAGAAAAAGTTTCATGATTCGTGTCCAGTCCAGATCTTTTTATGGATTTTATGGATAAACTTTGTATGTTCTCATTTCACACAAAGACTGCCCATGACTTAAGGGTGTGTCTGACCTTGAACCAAGGTCATTTTGGGAAGTTCAAGGTCATTGAAGAAAAATTTCATAATTCGTATCCCCTCCATATCTTTCTTATGGATGAACTTGGTAGGTTCTTATTTCACACAAAGATTGCTCATGACCTAAGAGTGTGTCATGACCTTGACCCAATGTCATTTAGTGAAGTTCAAGGTCACTGAAAAAAAGTTTCATAATTCGTGTCCAGTCCATATCTTCCTTATGGATAAACTTGGTAGGTTCTCATTTCACACAAAGACTGCCCATGCAATAAGAGTGTGTCATGACCTTGGGCCAAGGACATTTGGGGGAGTTCAAGGTTACTGGAAGAAATATTTCATAATTCGTGTCCGGTCCATATCTTTTTTTATGGATAAACCTGATATGTTCTTATTTCACACAAATATTGCCCATGACCTAAGATTGTGTCATGACCTTGACCCAAGGTCCTTTAGGGAAGTTCAAGGTCACTGAAAAAATTTCATGATTCGTGTCCAGTCCAGATCTTTTTAATGGATAACCTTGGTATGTTCTCATTTCACACAAAGACTGCCCATGACTTAAGGGTGTGTCATGACTTTGAACCAAGGTCATTTTGGGAAGTTCAAGGTCACTTAAGAAAAATTTCATGATTCGTATCCCCTCCATATCTTTCTTATGGATGAACTTGGTAGGTTCTTATTTCACACAAAGATTGCTCATGACCTAAGAGTGTGTCATGACCTTGACGCAAGGTCATTTGGGGAAGTTCAAGGCCACTTGAAGAATTTTTTTTTTATTTTGTGTCTGGTCCATATCTTTTTTATGGCTAAACCTCAATCTACTATTTCACACAAACCTTGCTTATTACCTGATTTTCTGTCATGACTTTGATCCAAGGTCATTAATGCAAGGCCAAGGTCACTGACAGAAAAAGTTCATAATTTGTGTCTGGTCCGTATATTTAGTCTGGTTTTTTTTTTATTAGGATGAGCCTTCGTTTCATTTATGAAAATATTATGAGCAGTTACATTTGCATTAAAAATGTTTTAGCATTTCTCTCTTCTTTTAAATCCATTAAATATTCATGATTAACACCTCTGAAAAACCCAGCGGGGATATTTAGTCCCAGCATTTGAGCCACCGCCTCCTAGGGAAAATTTTCTGGATGCACCTAACAAAAAAATTCAATCGGGCTCGGGCTGTCGACCTGAATATAAACGATAATGCTTAATTCATTAAGAAAATCGCTGTCATTTGAGTGTTTTAATGCAAGAAGAACATACTTTTGTGATACATGTATTGGAATGAGGTGGACGCGTTGGCGCCAAATACAATTAGCCATGTCAGTTACAGCTAATGAAAGTTTGACCGCAAATTTCATATCCCTAATTTGAG